AGGCTGCGATCTTTCCAGGAGCAGATCGCCAGGTCTTTCTCCTGAATCCGACTCCTAGCGACCCCGTGTGACAGAGTAGAACTGCCCCACAGGGTTTCCAAGGCTGAATCTTTACCGGAGAAGATTGCTAGGCCTTTCTCCCACAGAGCAGCTGGTGAATTCAAACCATCAAACTTTCAGTTAACAGCTGAGCTCTTAGCTGTTGCACCACCAGGGCTCATTAATACAGGGCTACAGTTTCCCCAAGGCTCCCCTGAGCAACCCTGACAATCATACCTAATTGTAAAGGCTTTCAGTATGTCAGCCAAAGTGCTTAGGCAAAAACTCTTGATTCGGTTTCATTTCTCAACTGCTTTTTCAAAATACTTCCTTCAGGTCTCTTCTTCCCACAAAAGGGGACTTCCCTGGGAACAAGGGTCTCTGCAGATTGATTCTTCCATGATTGTTCTTGATCAACTCCAGAATGGATGGTCAGATGAGATCCTCTCAGCCTGAGATAAGAAGCTGGGACGCTAGACTTGGATGCATTTTCATAAGTTATTCATCAGAAGAGTTCACAGCACCTCATCTTCATGATGCGTTTGAGATAGCAGACTATTGAAACAAAAAGCTTTTCCAAGCACGGGAGTGAGAGAAACAAGGTGACTTCATGTGCATTTATTTCTAAAGACAAACTTTCTGCTGTGGTAACAAAAGGAGGTGGATTAAAGTCTAAAGGGCCCATTCTTGAGGCCAAACACATCCTCAGGGTCAGTAATGTTTTCACAATCAAGGCAAAATAATCTTTATAATGACAACAGCAAGTGCTATTTATTATGATAGCTAAGTACACCCTTAGTGCTTAACAAACACATCTCATTTAATGTTTCGGAAGTTCTATAGTATGTTGTTATTGTTGGGTGCCGTCGAGTGAACTCCGGCTCATGGTGACCCCATATGGCAGAGAAGAACCGCCCCATGTGGTTTCCTAGGCTGTAATCTTTATGGAAGCAGATCACCAGGTCCTTCACCTGCAGAGATGCTGGCGCGTCCTAACTGCTGACCTTCCAGTTAGCAGCCGAGAGCTGAACTGTCACTTCACCAGGGCTCCTTAAAAGGACATCACCGCAAGGAAAGAGCAGACAGAACTGCCACTGACATCACTCTGAGAACCCGTCTCGATTTCTGGAGTCTGACGGACACCCAGGAAGTGATTTAAATTTAACAACCTGTTTAAACGTGTTCTTTCCCAGTGAAGGAAGCTGAGGATTCCTGGCCGAGTCATGCAGCGTGTTCCACGGATGTGGTGTGGATGTCTGCCCACTCTGCTGTCATCAGCCGATACGGGGACCCTTGTGTCATTGTCCCTCTGGTCAGGAAAAGGGGGAAACCTGAGAGAAAGCTGCTGGGGGAGGGTAGCCAAGAAAGAGACAGCACTTCCTGGGAGCAGCGGCTGACTGAGCTTCACACCCTCCTCACCCCAGAGGCAGGAGATGAACCTGTGAGTTTAATGACTTTTGGTTTCCAAATGCAAATGCCAGCTGTGAGAGGTTTCCAGGCCAGGCTGGGAAGCCTGCAGGTAAAGCTGGGTCAGGCACCTCCCGTGTGAAGGGCGGGAAAGGATGCTAATGACGGCCCCCCAGGAGTGACAGCCAGGCAGGGGGCGCAGCACCCAGCTGTGACATCACCATGGGTCCTCCTAAAGCAGGAGGGAGGTGCAGCCAGCCGTCCCCCCGCCCCCTGCCCTGCGCTCTGTGGAGCACAGCCTGGCCCGTGTGCGCAGGCATCCTTACCACAGCGCCCGCCCGCCCGGACTCCCCACGTGGACATGGGCCCCACCAGGGCCTCTCGAGACTCCTTACGGAGGCCCCAGCTCATCAGACTGTACAACTGCTGCTCGTCTGCCTGGAGATGCAAGAGGTAAGTGTGAACACAAAAACGGGAGGCAGGTTCCCATCAGGAATTCACTCGCGAGCAGAATTTCCACCATGGGATTGAATTAGGTGAATATAACAGATCTGAAGCCTCATAAATAAACAGCTTTAAATTGTCGAAATGAGTTAGAGCTCCATCACTCCACGTAGCAAAGCCCTGGTGGTGCAGTGGTTAAGTGCTTGGCTGCTAACCAGAAGGTTGGCGGTTCGAGCCCACCCATTGGCTCCTCAGGAGAAAGACCTGGCCATCTGCTCCTGTAAAGATTACAGCCTAGGAAACCCTATGGGGCAGTTCTACTTTGTCACATGGGGCTGCTATGAGTCAGAATTAACTCGATGGCACCTAACAACAACATGTTTTGAAGGGGCGGGGAATGGCCGGGAGTCCTTCATGAATACCTTAGATTCCAAGTCATTAGGTCTATTAATTTGCTTTTTTCCTTGTCATCAATACAACTGGCTTTATCGAGTGCTTCCCTGGGCAGCTTCCTGGAACCAAGAGCGGATAGAATACCGTCAGCGCCAGTGTGAAAAGCAGTAGTTCCGAGAACATATGCACCCGTTAAGAAATGGATGGATCTAAGATGCATCAATTTGTCCCAAGCACCTGTAGTAAAGAAGAATGAAGAACACAAAGGCTACAAGGAAAGTATTATCCCAAGAGACAGAAAGGGCCACATAAACCAGAGACTTCAACAGCCTGAGACCAGAAGAACTAGATGATGCCCGGCCGCCACCAATGACCGTCCTGACGGGGAACACAACAGAGAGTCCCTGAGGAGTAAGAAGAAAGTGGGGTGCGGAACTCAAAGTCTAGTAAAAAGACCAGACCAGGTCTGACTGAGACTGGAGGAACCCCAGAAAGCATGGCCCCTGGATTCTCTATCAGCCCAGAACTAAAACAATTTCTGAGGCCAACTCTTCAGACAAAGATTGGACTGGACTGTGGGACATAAAATGATACTCATGAAGAGTGTGCTTCTTAGCTCAAGTAGATACATGTGACTAAACAGGCAGCTTCTGTCCGGAGGTGAGATGAGAAGGCAGAGAGAGTCAGCAGCTCGTTGAATGGAGATGGGAAATCAGGGGTGGAGAGGAGGAGAGAGCTGTCACAGTAAGGGGAGAGCAGTTAGGGTCAGACAACAACGTATGTATAAATGTTTGTATGTGACTAACTTGAACTGTAAACTTCCACTTACACTACAACAATAAACAAAAAAAGAAATGGATGGAAATTCCAAAAGTCCCTGAATCATCGTTCTTTTAAAGCAAGTCAAGAAAGAGTTTGTAACGGAAATCAACCGAGAGCTGAGGACACTGGACAACCACTAAAACAATCGATCTTAACACATCTCTGGGACACTGGGTGCCCTCCATTTGGCCCCCAACTCGTGGTGACCCCACACACAACGGAATGAAATGCAGCCCAGTCCTGTGCCAGCCACAAGATTGGCTGCGGATAGGACCATTATGATCCATAGAGCTCTCATTGGTTGCTTTTCAAAGTTGATTGCCAGGTCATTCTTCCTAGTCTCTTAGCCTGGAAGTTCTGCTGCACCTGTTCAGCATCACAGCAACATGCAAGCCACCACAGTACCACAAACTGACAGAGGAGTGGTGGTTCAAGAAGGGTAGTTTCTTAGATACGAGGCATTTGAGCAGTCAAGGAAGAAGGAAGTTAGCCAAGCAAATTTCTGGAAGAAAACACCACATGTAGAGAAAACTGTACGTGTAAAGACCCTGAGGTAGGCTTGTCCAAGGGACACCAAGGTGACCTTGGGATTGGAGCAGCGTGAGGGAGGAGAAGAGCTGTGGGAAATGAGGAGGAGGAAGCTGCAAGGACCATGATCATTAAAGGTCTTATAGAAAGGAGGCCCTGGGCGGTGCAAACAGTTAAGCCCCCAACCACTAGCTGAAAGGTGGGTGGGTGGTTGGAACCCACTCAGAGGCACCTCAGAAGAAAATGCCTGGTGATCTGCTTCCAAAAGGTCACAGCCTTGAAAACCCTACGGAGCAGTTCTACTCTGCACACATCATGTGGCCATGAGCTGGAATCAGCTTGACGGCAACCAATAACCACCACCACAGCGCGTGGAAAGACCGTGGCTGTCCTGAGTGAGCCGAGGGGCAATAGTCATTTGTACCACCCAGGAACTCGGCTTTAACCCGTATTTTTGTTATCGTTAGTGGCCTAGAGTCGGCTCTAGGCCCCGTGTATAACAGAACAAAATGCTGCCCCGTCCTGCACCATCTTCATGATCACTGGTATGTCTGAGTCCATAGCTGCGGTTATTATGTCAGTCCATCTCATTGAGGATTTTACTCATTTTCACTGACCTTCTACTTTACCAAATATGATGTCCTTTTCTAGAGATTAGTCTTTCCTGATGACATGTCCAAGGTAAATGAGCTGAAGTCTCGCCATCCTCACTTCAAAGGAGCATTCTTGTTGTATCTCTTCTAATACCGATTTGCTCACTCACTCATGCTGTTATTGCTGTGTGCCATCTAGTCAATTCTGACTCATAGCGACCCTATACAACATAGCGGAACTGCCCTATAGGGTTTCTAGGCTGGATTCTTTATGGGAGCAGATCTCTAGGTCTTTTCTGCCACAGAGCCTCTGGTGGTTTCAATTAGCAGCTGAGCACTTAAACATTGTGCCACCAGGGCTCTGTCACTCACCCATAACCCTCTCTTTAACCCAGTGTCTTTCCATGCAGTGTTGTCACTGGTCCCCAAGCCTCTCGGCCACCTTCTCCTTTGATCTGACACAGCTCACTCCCCCAGTCCCTTCTCCTTTCATAATTATTCTGCATCTACTTCCTGTTCCCATCATCCAGGATAAGCTTGTCAAACACTATTTTCAGGAGTTTGCATCATAAAACATTGGGACTGTTCTTTTCCATTTAGGACACCAGCCACTGGAAATCACTGCTCTCGCCTGAGCAACTAAATCCTATTTCTGTTCTGGTTCTGATCTGCTGGAGAAAAGATGTCGTCCTTGGGTGTCATCAAGTCGATTCGGACTCACAGAGACCCCACATGACAGAGTAGAACTGCCCCACAGGGTTTCCTAGGCTGTAATCTTTATGGGAGCAGACCTCCAGCTCTTTTCTCCTGTGAAGTGGCTGGAGGGTTCAAACCACTGACCTTTCAGTTAGCCGCTGAGCATTTAGCCTCATTTCACACACAGACGCAGTGGCTATCATCCAAGTTACAGACTGGTGCTTCAAGCAGGCAGGAAGTCAGACAAAGCAGACTGAGAAAGAGACAGAAGCAGTTGCCTGCCTGGTATGATCTGTGGGCAGGAATCTATTGGCATAAGAGGTGTTTGCCCTACTGGCTGCAGATGGGAACAATAACATCATCATCACCAACAAGATAATAGCAGCTGACATCATTACTACATGCTGGGCCATTTTATCCTTTAATTTTCCAACGACCTTGTGAGGCAGGTCCTTCTAGGTCCTCATTTTCACAGATTGGAAGACCAGGGTGTCAAAGGGTCAGGTCAGCAGAAGCAAGGGAAACCCTCCATGAGATGGATTGACACAACAGTCCCAGCAATGGACTCAAATACAGCACAGATCATGAAGACGGCTCAGGATGGGGCAAGGTTCGTTCATGGAAAGTCACCGTGAGTCAGTCGACTCTAGGGAAGCTGACAACAGCAACAACGTGGGCTAGAGCACGGGCCCTGGGTGGGGAACGGATCACTGGCCGCCAACCAACAGGTGGAGCCCTGGTGGCACAGTGGTTAAGAGCTCAGTCTGCTAACCAAAAGGTCAGCAGTTGAAATCTACCAGCCACTCCTTAGAAACACTGGGGAAGTTCTACCCTGTTCTACAGGGTCGCTATGAGTTGGAATCGACTTGATGGAGATGGGTTTGGTTTGTTTTTTTTTAAACAAAGGTTTGGAGTTCGAGTCCACACTGCTTGTGAGCACCCACTAATAAATGACAGAGGTTGGACTTCAACTTTGGAGGGCTGACACCAAAGCTCACGGCCCTCGGCGTCATGTCCAAACCAGCCTCAAAGGCTCGTGGGAACCTCTTCTTCGGTCAGAAGACACAAGCAGAGGACTTGTTTCCAGAAGGTTGGCAGAGAAAAGACAAACACGCTGAGTGGCTGGTGCAGGCACTGAGGTGCCAACGTGCAGGCTCTGGTTTCCATCACAGGAGCAGCCGTTGCGCAGCAGTGGGGGCAGACGCCTGTTGGAGTGGGTTCAAGAGAGACCGAGAGAGGAACTGAAAAAGAAGTGTAAGCTCTTTTGAAGAATTTGGGCACAAAGGGGATCATTTCTTTACAGGAGGTAGAAGCTGAACATGAAGTAAAATAAAACAAGCTGCCCAGATAAACATGTTAGCAATAGATCTTTAACTGGTATATAAGTGAGAAGATTAGATATTTGATACAACTAGACCCTTCTGGCGCTGGTATCCCAAAAGGTCGGCAGTTCAAACCCACCAGCCGCTCCTTGGGAGAAAGATGTCTCAGTCTGCCTCTGTGAAGATCACAGCCTTGGAAACCCTATGGGAGTTCTACTCTGTCACATGGGGTTGCTATAAGTCGGAGTCATCTTGATGGCACCCAATAGCAACAACCTCGTGTGAGGCAGCCACGCTCCCCCACAAACACTGGCGTTGGTGCCCCCACCCTGGGCAAGTCCCTGGACCACGCAGACCACTGGTCACTGTCAAGTTCTTCAGTTAAAACCCACCAAGCCACGGCCTCCTTTTCTGCCCAGAGTGTTGTGAAAACCAGCGCTGAACCAAATCTCGGGATCGGAGTTACAAATTAAAACTTCTGTTTCCAAAGCTAGGAATTCTCAGGACCAAAAGGTAATTTGCAGTCAAGAGGAGACCCAAAGCACCAATAAACTGGTTTCAACCAAATCATTCAGAAACACTCGTCACCAAGAAAGCCAATCTTCGTGATGGCAGAAGTGTTACGAACATCAGGATGAAT